AATTTATTCTCTGATCCTGTAGAGACCAGATCTGGTGAGTACTCCTTCGAGAGAAAGGGGCGGGTTCAGAAGCATCAGAAGAGACCTGGGCTGGCGCAAACCACTCTCTAGCAAACCCAGTTCTGGCCTCGGGTCCTCCGTACCTCCATCCATGCTCCACAGAGAGGACTCTGGGCGCAGTCAGGTGAAGGCAGTTAGGGACTGTAGCCTTTCTACACGTCCCATCTGCATCATTCCCTGAGACAACCAAACCCATCTTGCCTAGGGCTGTTGCCTCTATAGGGATGAGTCTTGGGTTGTGTGTGATGTGTAATCGGGTACCATAGTCAACGTTGGAAATTTGGGATGAAGCAAAGAGCTGGAATGGATGAATAAAGACAGGATGTTCTCATACGTTTTACTGGACGGAAGACTCCACCGGCACCAGGGAGGAACTGCAAGAGATTCTTTCCCTACTGTTTCCTATCCTGGCCTGATTAAGTTGCTACTTGAAACAGATGTCCACATAGTACCAGATTTTAGTCGTTAATATTCCTTTCTGCAATTTAACTGTGCAAAGAGCTGATCAATAACATCTCAAACTTGGAGAATGGAAACTGATAGAACAGAGTTGAAATTCCAAGGTTTCTGTGATATGCAACCTTCTGGCTAAACTATTAACATTACAATTACTTTGGCAAAGGCTTTGAGTTGAAAAGAAACTGCATCCATATTTCATGTATTTTATCAGTAAACATTTTATAGCACCCTACTGGACACTTGGTGATGGGCTTGAATTCTGTATGTAAAGAAAACGTTAAGAATGATTTTAACATCAATGGAGGCTCCACTTACACAGAGCCGGATTCTACTGCACAGAAGCAACTGAAAAGCAGGCCCATCCCTTCTGTGGGCTACTCTATGCTTAATTAAGGCAGCAGCTAGCCATTGCTTAGATCTGGTTATGTCCCCCTCAAGAGAAACAACAGGAGGTAAATAAACGTCACAAAGCCTTCCAGAACTAGCATCTGATCGGAGAAGAGGGCAGTGTACAGGAAACCAGAGGTGCTCATTTCGGGATATAAAATACAATAGGTGTCCAGGTCTTTTTTTTTCACCCGGGATATTGTGGCCTCACACCACCCAGGCTCCAGGCTAAGAAAACCTCCAAGCCAAAGCAGCATCTTAGCTGGAACTTTTCAGTGACTTGCTGCACTGAGCGCTTAAGCCACATTAATATCCCTCCTAACATGGATGACATTACTCAGGATTCGTAAAAGGCAATCAAGCACTCTCCAGTTCTGCCCTCATTCTCAGATTATAGGCTGTGGCAACCTTACTTATGTGAATTATGTCCATAACAGTTGAGAGGAAGTTACCTCTATACTTCATCCTCTGTGACACTGGCTTCTGCATTGACAGCTGACAGTAAGTTAAATCAGCCACTCTAACTCCTTGCAAGAAAGAAGTAGGGGGTTATACTATAAGTCCGTTAAATAAACCCTAAAACAAATCGATGACTCCCGACATCTTTTTATCAATGGGCACAAAATAAATTATTAGGCAACAAAATGTAATTAATTTGGTAATTTAGCAGATATGTATTTGGAGAGTAGGTCTCATGTATCCCAAAGCTGACTCTGATGTGTAGTTGGGAATGACCTTGAACAGCTGAACCTGCCTTCCCACTGCTTGGATCACAGGTGTGGTTTTACCATAACTAGCGTATGAGGAGCTGGGGATCCAACCACAGGGACTTGTGCACGCAACCCCAATTTGGCAGAACTTAAGGAACACATAACAACTAGTCATGATAGCTCTTTAGGGTCTGTCGTAGGTCACATACAAAAGAGATAGAGACTTGTTATTTTTCCTTTTAATTTCCTTTCTTGACCAGCTAGACCAACTATGTCTAGCTTTTAGTCAAGTGGACTTCTTTTAGTCCTGTCATTTAGTGGGTGACTAGTAGGTGAGTGGCTATACCCGGAAGCTGCTTTGACTAAACTTGTCCATTGCTGTTCCTACATATCCTCCTGGGTCACTGCTTCCCAACTCCGTCTGCCACAGCCTGGCAGCTCCCCTTGGTTTGTGTCTCCACTCTCCTTCAGACCCCCATGAAATAGGAAAATCCATGCTGTCACCACAAAGTCACATGAACACTAGCTGGCTTTCACACCACAGCCCCTTGCTGTGCTTCCCTGGTGACTAAAACGGTGACTCACAGGCACCTCCTTCTAGTCCACTCTATGCCCAATGCAGCCTTGGAATTAGCGGACAGACCGAGGCCGGCCCGGATTTTTGAGGGCCAGGCGATTGCCTACCTTTCCAGCCTGTCTCCTGCTTCACCCTCTCTCTGTTCCTTCAACTCCTCTTGCCTTTGAACTTCAGCACTGGCAGCTCTTGTGGCTCCAGATGCTGTACCTGCTTGAGATCATCTCCCATCTTCTCCTATCGGGGAAGGACAATGCCATCTCTCACGCGAGAATGAGGATGCAACCACCTCTCAACACAGCCTCCGGCCTTCATCTACTCTACCGCAGCCTTGGGTTTGTCGGGATAATCAGGGGCAATGCTGGCCGGAGCTGGGATCCCAGTGTTATTTGGTTCAGGTGCAGAAGGCTCAAGGTTTGCTGAGGGTTTGTGAAACAAGCACCTGGCCTAGGAAACGGACTGGGGTTTCAAAGTGCCCCCCCCCCCCCCCCCCCCCCGTACAACTTCCTTCTCAGGTACAGATGAAACAGGTACTTGGGATCTAAAGTTCATTAGCTACAAACTCAATAAGTTGAAAAAAGTAATTATCTATTGTTTCCAAGGGGAAAATTAATGAAGAAAGTTTTCCACTCATAAATTGGAAACCACCTGAATTCTACTGCTAATTACGTTTTTACTACTCCTTTAAAAATGAACTCCTGACCTAAACTTATTATACCTGTGATCAAAAGCCCTTATTTCCCTTTCTTCCTCAAGCAGTAGGCAGACAAGTTTTCAGCAGCTAACTTAGGCTGGCTCTTTCTCGGTGCTGTGTGCTTCCCGAGTAGCCACTGAACAAGGAAGTGTGTGGTGGAGGCTCTGATAAATACCGTAGTTCAGAAGAGCATTTGTAAGGGTCAAAGGTCAAAGGTGGTTAAAGTCCACCTGCCTCCTCACGACTGGCAGAGAATATAGTAATTTAGAGAACAATGAAGGTAAGATGATAGTGATGAACTCCGGGGCTGGAGAGGTGGCCCAGTGGCTAAGAGAGCTTGTTGCTCTTCCAGAGGACCGGGGTTCAATTCCGAGCCCCCATATCAGAAGAGATCATCTAATGATCCCCTGAGTACCAGGCATGCACCTGTGCACACACATACATGCAGTCAGAACACTTAAACATGTAAGAAAATGAATAAATGTAAGGAAGTTTCTTTACATCAGGAAAAAGAAAGATAATTCACGTTCTTTGTTTTGTTTTCGCTTATTTGAGCCACGTTTCTCTATCTAGCCCCTGGCTGCTCTGTAACTCACTGTATAGACCAGGCTGGCCTCAACCTCATAGAGATCCTCCTGCCTCTGCCTCCCAAAGTGCTGGGACTAAAGGCGTGTGCCACAGCTTCACATAGCCTCATGCCACTCACTGAAAAGCCACCGGGTCGAGAGCTTAGTATTCTGCCAGGAAGAAGTTGCCAATCACTCACATGCGCATGCCCACCAGCTGAAAGCACCGAGAGCTTGCCATAAGCCAGAGTGATTTCTGGGGTCACAGCAGCAGGCCTGTGTTATCTTCTGCTGGATGACCCACACACTGTTCTCACATAAGAGACAGAGACTTCCTCACTCAGAACTTTCCTGTTTGCTGTGTTAATAGAGAAACCACGAAGGGCCGTGCTCCCGCCACTGGAAGCTTTGAACACTCCATCTAAAGCACAATGTTGTGTTTTTACATTTACACTGACGTTTCTTTTTGCTGTATTCATCACACTTTCCAAGCTACAAAAAAAAAAGCTCTTTTTCTTTTCCACGTTGACTGCACGAGTTTGGAGGCTTCACGCTCCCCCTTTATCCGCAACAGCCATGTGGGGCTATCGGGAGGAACTCTGAAACCAAGCGGCCCAATGGCGGACATCTGTTTCACTTTGCAGTTCGTGTTATTGTTATATTTCTTCGGACATGAATTCACAACTATCTTACAACTGAAGACTAAAGAAAAAAACATATGTTGGTAAATCTGATTTCTGTCATTATTTTCGTCCAAGGGAAGTTGCCTCCCTCAGCCTTCTTTCTGCCAATGAGGAATGAATGGACTTGGCAAAAAAGTTTATTTAAGTTGGCTTTGTTAAGCCAACAAAAAATACAGAAATCAAGTAAGGGACAGACAGAAAAATCTGTTCCTTTGAAGTCAATAAAAATCCATCTCCTTAATCCTTTTTTTATTCCAAGCAGGGGTGATTTTTCTCAACTGGCTCGCTGAGAACCTTGATTTAGCTAATCTATCTTGCTTAGCTCTCTTTCTACTCCAAACCCTTGCGAAGGAAGCATCTTTCCCTTTGACAGGCACTATCCTTTATATGTGCAGGGAATGGGGCATTCTGCTAGAAACATTCTCCAGCAAATCCTGAGAGAAATGTAAAAAGTAGGCATTTGATTACTACCCCCACCCTCCAAGGCTAAACGCAGCAGAGGAGTTGGAAGGCAGAGCAGACCACAAAAAAAAAAGGTAAAATATTCAAATATGAATGGCAGAAAGATGGGTCCAACTTGGGAAAGTGACTTTTTCCTGTCTCCACTGTCCATTGCTATCTGTCCATTGCTTGCCTGCCCAGCAGGGGGAAACTGCAACTGAACAACTCCTGTTCTACACCCCAACCCATCTGCTGAAGGGCTAAGACTTGTGTAAAAACACATGTGAAGGCATGGTCACATCTAAAGATTTCATTACCCAGAAGGAAACGCAGTATATCTGTAACATCAAGACACCCAGCGTTGGACATTTGAAAATAATGTTTGGTTGAATGGACTAGGAGGGGAAAAAAAAAATCTTTGCTCACCTAAGCTGAACAGCACGAGGAACTTGAGACACACAAACTCTCGATGATCAAACTGGAGGGCGCGCAGTCTCAGGACGAGCTCTTGTGCATGACTCATGAGGTTGGTGAGTGTGGCTCCGGCTTGGGAGGCGATGCTGGAGAAGTCAACCTGTAACACAGAATCACAGCTGTGACAACCAGCAGGACTCACAACAGAGAGCTCTGTGGAGATTCCTCGGAACCGTGGGAAGAATCGGGTTGCAGTATAGAGCTGTGACCAGAGGCCACAGGCCAATGCCCTGGGGGCAGTGCCTCAACTGAGGCTCCATTTCTTACAGGCGACGCGAGCTGACAGCAACGAACCAGTACAACTAGGGCAAGTTGTGCTTCTGAAAGCAGGCGGAGAGACCTCCTGTAAAATGTGTCACAATTATTCCGATAAAAATCCAAAGTCGATGACTTCCAGAGGGACTAGTTTTCATTGCCTACATTTTACAAGTACCTGTACCTGCTTTTCTGCAGTGAAAATATTTCCATGTAAGGTAATTATTTTCAATTCTTAAGTATGAATCCAAAAGACAAATACGCCACCCACAAAATGAGCCACATAATTATTCTACATGTATGCAGTAACATTAACCAATACACGGGGAAAACAATGGTGGAGGTCCAGATTAACTGGCACTGGGAAAGATCTAGAGAATCGTGGTGCTCAGCTGCTTGCTGGCAGGTGATTAAGGTACTGACATGCGGTGACTAAAGGACCCTTTAAGAAAAAGAGCCTCACGATGTAGCCAAGCTGGCCTCGAACTCATCATCCTCCTGCTTCAGCCTTCCCGGTGCAGCGTCTCCATGCTGGACTCTGAACCTATTCATTTGCTTTTTACCGCCCTCCTTAGAAGCCGACACGAAAGCTGTTAGTTTGCGATGCTTACATTAGATTCTATCAAACTGATCACCACCACTCCCCTTGACGCATGTCCTAATTTTTATGCAGAATAGTTTCTTGATCTGGAAAACAAACCCCAAAAGTCTTATTTCCATCTTCATTTTGTAAGGCGTGCTGAGAGGCTCCCCTCTTTACTATCCACGGGGATATAAGCAGCTCAGTTTATACTAACAAAGGTGAGGATGGCTATCCTCGGAGATCCTGTCTCTGCTCCGGAATTGGCAGTTTGGGAAGACCCACTCGGTAGCTGGCACTCCCAGCCTTGCTTTTCTGGAGAGCTCTTAAGCAACAGACACCCTTTTAGGTGCATTTAATTTTTGCAGGAGCAGCAAATTTGTCTGGGAGGCAAGTCCTCATCTGCCACTCACCCAGAGCAGTCTGTATTAAATTTTTATATTTATTGACATTTCATTACCATAATTGACTGCACTTGCTTCACCGGAGAAGGCACGGGGCTGCCTCCGACGCAGGAGAACTAGTCCCTTGGGGAGAATTTGCAATTAAAAACAAGGCAGAATGGATTTTTTTTTATTGTGTAAATATGATGAGTTGAATTTTAAGCTTTAGCTAGAGAATACGAGGTGTAAAGAAATCCTTTTCAAGAGTAGGAAAATTATGAGTCAGTGGAAAGACGAACCCCCGCCCCCCCCAAAGGTGTCAATCAGCTTACAGGAGAGTCAACTGCGCATGAAAACGCCACCACTGATGTGCAGTCCAAGGGGCTTCAAGCCCTGTGCCATCCAATTGCTCTGCACAGACCCTGGGCTGGCATCTACCCATGCAATTGAAATGTTGAACACTCTACGAGCTCCTTCAGGTGGTTTCAAGAATGTCTGGAAGGGTCAGTCTGTAGGCAGCTTGAACCCTGGGGCAGGAAATGAGCAGGGGGAACCACAACAGGGGCACTTCAGGCTTGAGAGTGACATCCAGCCAGCATTTTAAGGGGGAATTTTCTACATTAAGGGGTAGATGTGTTAGCACATACACTGGTAACCCCAACACTCAGATCTTAGGACAGGGTTCCATCAAGGAGGGAGGCCAAGGCATGAGCGGAAGCAGAGACCTTGGGGGAGGACATTGCAACTGACTCACTCAGCCTGCTTCTATAACCCAGAACCATCTGCTCGGGGGTAACACTGCCCACAGGGAGCTGGGCTTTTCTACATCAGTCGTTAATCAAGAAAATATTCCAGAGACTCGGCCATAGGCCAGTCTGAGAGATGGCTCTAGTTTGGGGCACACTGACAAAAACTAACCTGCTATCATGGGGGAGGCAGAGACAGGAAGACGACTACAACATTTGAGACCAGCCTGAACTCTACAGTGAGTTCTAGGCCAACCAGGCCTACATGATGAGACAGCAATTTCAACCAACAGTCAAACAAAGGTAAATGCCAGGATTTGCTGCTGGTATAACAGAGGCTGACCATCCTAAATACAAAAAAGCCCTAGCGAGTATTCAAGTCTGGTGGCTCACACCTTTAATCCCAGCACTAGGTGGGGCAGAGGCAGGCGGATCTCTGTGAGTTCGAGGCCAGCCTGGTCTAGAAGAGCTAGTTCCAGGACAGGAACCAAAAAGCTACGGGAGAAACCCTGTCTCGAAAATCAAAAAAAAAAAAAAAAAAAAAAAGACTCATCTGAAGGCTGAGGCAGAAGAAACCGACTACTCAAGACCACCCTCTGGGTTACATGAGGCCCTGGCTCAGAAAAACAAAACAGAACAACAAACAAACAAAAAACCTAGAAACAAACCCTGCCACATGAAATGCCCTCAGAGCTAAAACTTTCTGATCACCAGCAGGACAACTCCAAGTGACAGATGCTGTGTTCCATGCACTTACTGAAAAGAACCAGACAAAATCCTCTCTGGGCTATGTACGTAAGGTGCATACGAAACAACTCAACTGCATATTCAGAACCGGGTCTATCCCTTGTTCTATATTATGTAACTCTCTGGCACTTAAAGTCTGAAGCACTCCAGTCCAAACATTTTCAGATAAGGGGAATTCAGTGTGTAAGAAATTCTATGGGGAGCCAGGCGGTGGTGGCGCACGCCTTTAATCCCAGCACTTGGGAGGCAGAGGCAGGCGGATCTCTATGAGTTCGAGGCCAGCCTGGTCTACAAGAGCTAGTTCCAGGACAGGAACCAAAAGCTACAGAGAAACCCTGTCTCGAAAAATCAAAAAAAAAAAAAAAGACAAAAAAAGAAATTCTATGGGGGCAAATGGGCTAGGTGGATCAATAACAGCAGGAAGGGCCAATGAGATGACAATCAATGATGGAAGAATGACAGCAGGAAGGGCCAATGAGATGGCAATGATGGAAGAAACTGGAGACAGAGACAGATGACAAGGACTAAATAATGACAAACAAAGACAGTTGGGAAAGTGAGACACCCTGGTGTCATCGTCATTAAATACGGTAGGTGTTCATCACTTCTGTGGCTATGCGGATGCCATCTGAGTAAGAACCATACGAATTTTCCAGTACTGAAGGTGTGCTGATGTATGGAAGCTAGGTGTCAACTCAATACAGGGTGGATGCTTCTTAATACACACAAGTACCTGGTAAGAAGAGCCACTGGTCAAGCCCTGATTCAGAAGGCTGTGTTAAAATGAAATGTAAACACAGAGTCTTAGTTAATGAGGTATATGTGAACTTTCAAACAGGTCTGTGTAAGTCTGGAGAGGAGAATTTCATATTTAAAAACATAACACACCACATTAAAAAGATCTCAGTTGGCTCCGAGGATTATCTGTTTAGTGAGATTCCTTTAGTACGATACACCTCGCGAAATCAATTGGCTTCTCCACCTTTATAGCCGTACATTTATTTACATGCTAATTTGAGAGCGCAAACATGCTTATTAAATGGGGGCTCTGACAACATTTCTTCCAAGGATAATTTATCAAATTGCACACCTCTGAAGGGGAACGAGGATTCATTTCTGATAAATCACAGGCCTGCAACTTCCTTACCTTTTATTGCAAACATAATTATATTTTCATTGTTGGATGCGGGGTTTGTGCTCATTTCAGGAGCAGCTGGCCTTGTCTTTTATGTACTTAGTAAAATTAATTGATTGCTCTCTTACATGTAATCTTTATGCCATGAAATTCAAGGGGGAGACCGAAGAATGTTCTAAGCCCATGTCCCCTCTGGATAAATTCCACTCATTCCGGAGATGCAGAGATAATTTAAGTTAAATTGCTTTTAGTTCTAATGTCCAAAATTTTGATGACTCGGATATTGTAAGGTTCTTGTCATTTTAATACGGTGCACAATGACAGAGGGTATTAAGCTGACGGTAGACCTTTCCCTTAGGATGATGTTATAGTGACTGTTTATTAGGCACAATATGCAAATACTAAAATCTGACCTCATGTCAGAATATTCTGTTATTTGATATATACACAGGGATACGTGCATGTGTGTGTGTGTATAGCTTTAAAATACTGGATAAAAAAAGAACTGTCATAAATATAAGGTACTAGCCAAATAGTTTGACAGCACTGAATATTTATGATAATTATGTTTTCCTTTTTGTCCCAGAATCATATAATCTGCATTTATATCAATGCTGGATGAATATACACAAGTAGCTAATGTGGTGGTGCACACCTTTATACCAGAACTCATGAGGCAGAGGCAGGTGGATCTCTGTGAATTCCAGATGAGCCTGGTCTACAGAACAAGTACCAGACATGCCAAAGCTACATAGTGAGACCCTGGATTTAAATCAGACAGGAAGGAAGGGAGCGGGGGAGGAGAGAATGAAGGAAGGTAGGAAGGAAGACATATAAAACATAACTTTAAAAAGCAAAGTCTTTAAGAAGAGCTAATTTTAAACACCTCCTAGTACTAGCAGCTTGGACACGGAAGGCCCCAGCTCCGCCAATGGTGCCTGAGACAGCTGGCTGTCCCCCAGGCTTGAGGTCAAAGCTGTGCTATCTTACCTGTATTCTCTTCAGGCCTCAAGATAGTTCCCTGGGGACACCATACTTCGCCGCTTTGTGACTGTCCCAGTGTAGGTTGTCTTTTCTCCCTCCTCTGCTGGAGCGGCTCCACAGGTTCATTACAGCACTCCACAGACAGTAGAGGGAAGCAAGAACACTGGGCCTTGCGTCCCTCAGCTGGCCAGAGTCTGGCCACCACACATGTGTTTCAGGGCAATAGGACATTACTGTCTAGGGTTCTCTTTGTGTCAAGATTTTATTCATCTTAGTTAGGGCTTCTGTTGCTGTCATAAAATCCCGTGGCCAAAAGCAGCTTGGGGAGGCGAGGGCTTGTTTCAGCTCACATGGCCTGATCACGCGTTCTCTTCTGAAGTTCCTACCATGCACCTGACTGTGCTAGGGGGCTTGCCTGTAGAACAGCACAGTGCAAAGCCCCCAAAGAACAGCTGCTGCCATGATGGAGCAGATGGAGGAAGGGCCTTTCTTATCCCTACGTACTGCACTGCAGGGGTGTCTGATAGTTCTCCTCTCACAGCTATGACTTGTGCTCCATCTATTAGTCTACCAGAAATACCTTTGACCCCAATGAAAAAGCATCTTCCTCACCTACGGGTGAGTGCCAACCATGAAACCTTAGGAGAGTTCTGCATGCTTTATTGGTATCATGTAGCTTAATTTCTTCCCCAAGACATCAGCATGACCTTGATACAATGCATAATGGAACCAGACTTCCATCTTGGTGTGAAAGTCCACGCGCTAGACAATTCATGGGAATGGGCCACTATGTCTCCACGTCAGCGCTGTCTCCGAGACTTACTTTTTTTTACTGTAGCACTACACAAATACTTCCTGTCATTTCTATGGCTGTTTTCTCAGGTGGGTACCACAGTGGTTCCTGCCGAAGAGGGAAGGAAACTGACGCTTGAAAGGTAGGGAGACTTTCTCAAGATGGTGTACCTAGTAAAGTCTTAAAGGGGTACACAGGCTGTCCCCACATACTGAGGTTCAAATGCACACATATGTACACATACAGAAATACACATAAATATGCAGACACCTATGTGTACTCTTACCATTTCCAAACCAAAGTCTGTACTAATAGTCAAAATGCAGTCTAGATGGGTGTGTTGGCACATGCTTGAAATCTGAGCAGCAAAGAGATTGAAAGAGGGGGATCATGAATTTAAGGTCAGCCTGGGCTACACAGTCAACTATTTTTTTAAAAAAACCATCTGTCCCCATAGGAAAACACATGCTGCCCCTAAAGTTGTCCCTGCCTTTACTATGCTGTAGACAAAATGAGGAAGGAGGACACTTTTTTCCCACCGTGTACTTTAATATATTTGTTTTCCCTGGAATATTGCGTCTGGGGCGTGGCTAGCTTATTTTACTCAGGTTTTAGGCTGGAGATATAATAGTTCTCATGCACTATATGTTATAGTAGATGCTAGAAGCAGACACATATCAACTTGATTTCTTTTCAAATCTGGGGGGGGGAGTGCTTCATGGCAGAGCATGTGTGAGGCCCTAAGTTATAATCTTTCAATGTATACACACACACACACTTTCTCTCTGGGCTTGGGTCTCAGAACCAACACTCCCTCTTCCTCTCCAGTGGCTGTCTCACCCCCTCCTGCCTCCTGATCTTTCTCATGCTGTTGTAAAGTTCATGAGCTCCACAAGTCTTCCTGTGAGTTCTTTGCTTGCCTTCTCTGTAACCAAAGGGGCCTGGGCGTATGCCTCTCTTGCTTGCTCTGTGATGGACGGTAAAAGCCTTCTCCCATAGTTACCATAAATGAGAGTGCTTGGTAACAAGAGCCATCATCAGGCTGTTGCCACGGGGAAGGCGGAAATGTACTGTATTGCAGGAAAGGTATAAGGAAAAGGCCAGGGAGTTCCCTCCTTCCATTGGCACGCACTCTCTGGAGTGGCAGTAATTGACAGCAGGGGTTAACACTGTTTACTCTGGGACTGTGTTTGGTATGACGAATCAGAGAGATGCTGAGTGGGCGGTGTAGGAGCATGCCTCTAATCCCAGCATTTAAAAGGCAGAGTTTGAGGCTAGCCTGGTCTACAAGTGCTAGTTCCAGAATAGGCTCTAAAGTTACAGTGAAACCCTGTCTCAAAAAAGAGTCAGAGAGACAACAGGTGTACTTTTAAACAGCAATTACTGTTACTTTAGGTGGCACTCGAGGCAAAATGACCTAAGAGTAAGGAATATTTCCAAGAACTGGGATGAAATGGCAAAACCCCATCTCTTTAAAAAAGAGAGAGAGAGAGAGAGAGAGAGAGAGAGATTGAATTCATTCATGAGTTGTGTCTTTTACTTCTAATACAGCCTCTAGCTGGGCAAGGGTGGGGATAGTCACAGATATAACCTATGATACAACTCAAAAATGGGCAGGTTCCATCCAAAGACTTTGGTCCCAGGACGAAAACAGCAAATTAGGACAGTCCCATCTCGAAAATTCTTCTCCCCAGAGATGCTGAGAGCAAGGACCAGATAGTGATGGAGACGGTCGAGTTGATCCAGTCGGCCAGAGCTCTGAAATGGTGCTTGCTTTTAATTTGATTGGAAAATGTGATTTATTAATAATTCGGCAAATGGTGTGAAGACAGCCTTCCATTTTCAAATCTGTACTGCTGTGCTTTCACAGCACATAAACATTTATGACCGGACGTAAAAGATCACAGTGCCTGCATGCTGGAGTCGCCCCGGCCGAACGATGTGATGCTGCCCTGCATAGCGATGGCCAAGTGGACTGAAGAACTCACGGTGTACCATGAGTTTATACCACCAATAGATCCAGCATTTGCAGGGAGGAGAGTATAAAACCAGGAGAATTTACCCACACCCTAAAATGTCAGCATTAAGTCCATTTGTCCTCCCTTTCCTTAGGTGGCTACACAGCAGTCTCTGCTTCCCCATGTGTTGCTCAAATGCTACCTTCTCAAGAAGGACAAACAACTATCCTGTTACCTCTGTAATTCTTAGACCCCGCCTGAAACACAAATCCGTGAATACGTGTCCACTCCTTTTCCTGCTGGGTCCTATTTCTTCAGCTTCCTTTGCTCCAATATACCACAGGTTAGTGCGTTAGGTTGTTATTCTCAACCCCACGCTACAACACTAAGTTCCAAAGTGACAGGGAGTATTTTCTGTTTTACTTCCCAATACACACCAGTGCCTCAGAAGAGAGACCAGCACACGGCACAGCACCCAGGAAGTATTTATAGATTCACCAAATATTAATCCAGACAAAAGTCTAACTTCACAGCAGCTTTTCCTTCTTGAAAAAGGGAACCCCTGTTCCTTCTCATGTGCGTGCCTCTAGGCCAGCTGTTTGACTCCATTTAACTTAAGTCTCTTCCACTGACACTATTCCAAAACAGCAAAGATTCGGAGGCTGCGGGGAGAGCTCAAAAACGTCGAACACTCGCCCGAAATGCATAAGTTTTCTCTTTAGCACAATCATCGCGACCATAACCATCATCATCACTGACAAAACAAGGACGCTCCGGTTTATAAAGGAATTAAACTGGCTAGCTAGCACACAGATATGGTATGTTCATGCAGAAACAGAAGGGGGAATAAAACCACCATTCAATATTCCGAGTCTGATTTAGCCGTAGCTCTGACCCTGTGCAGGACTCCCTATCCTGCAGAAGGCGGCAGAAAGCTGTGGATACTGTTCCCTCCCCATCATCATACAGAGCAGGAACTGCATGCCAAGAGTCATCATTTCTCGATGATTTGCAGCCAGTCCCTCCCTTTGAAGCCCAAGAGTGCTTCTGACCTAGTTAGACTCCTGCCACTCCAAATGTGCTTAATAACGAGGTTTTTTGTTTTTGTTCTGCTTTGTTTGGGTCTGGATACTCACTTGTTGCCCAGTTATCAGTAAGAGCGACCCTTCCTTCCCATGCACCACTTGCCGGTAAATGTGATCAAGGATCAAGAGCTCGCTCCAGCAGTTCTGAAGCAGCTTCATTTGGTCGTCAACCTGCAATGGGAAAACAAGAGCGCGTTACTTGCTACCTTTTTGGTTTTATCTAATTCTCCAGGCAAGAAAACCAACAACTAAGGAGGTCCTGTCAGTGACCACTCAGACACATGCTTGGCATCTACACTGCTGCTCCTGGAAAAAACGAATTTTTATTTAGACAAATACTTCAGAGTATAAACTAAGTATAATCAACGGGCTTCCAGGAGATCGCACGCCATTAGATTGTTCTAGCAAGCATTACAAGAGCTCTTGGACTTTGGTTATCAGAGGGACCGGAGCCAGGATGGTCTTGAGCAAACCCTGAAAGGAATGATCCCAAATAGTCCATGCTCACAGGTGTAAAGGTTACACATCATAGCTTACTGCCAAACAGAAAGAAAATGAACAGGGGAGCCGGAAGGATCTCTGGAGACAGACGAACAGTGGCCATATCGAGTTTTTAGAGATATTCCTTACTCCTAGGTAAGAATTCCAACTGTGTTTTCAAGGATTTAAACCCAGGACCCTAGGCAAACGCTTTACTACTCAACAAGCCCAAGTGGCTGTTTTTGAGTCAATTATTTGGTGAGACCAAGTGTGGGTTTTGGGAATAAAAGGATAAACAAGGTGAGCAGACCCCCTCCTGCCTTCATGGAAATCATTTGCTTGGCCCAACAGCCAGTGAGGCAGTTGGCAGTAAGCGTTTGCTTTCTTCTTTAGAAGCTGTGCCAGAATGCTGTGTGGCAGGGTGAGAAGAAGGGCAGGTGGGTGCAGTAGCTAGGTGCTTTATCCTGTCGAGGGTTGACTGCAGGTGAGGCCCTGTGTCCTGATGACCCAGCGACAGGCATGTCATTGCACCCAGAGGGGACTGCAGTTCTCTCTCTGTGTCAGATGCGAAGGGTGATTTCAGGGCAAAGTGCAGGCTGCTCCTTGGGGTTTTATTGCACCCCCATACGCTATCAGTATCTCATCTCAAATTTATCAGTCTACAATAGCAATTTGGCTCCATTCATTTTAAAAACTGTGATATGAGGCTTTGGTTATTTATTTAGCACTCTTTTCTAGGAAGCCAAAAACACTGTACTTTGAGATCATCTTTCCAATAATAACCCTGCAGGATAGCACTGTACGGAACTTCCAGGAGGTGGGGTCAGGCAGACCTCCAAAGTCCACGCATGGGCAGAATGGGGATTCTGGCTTAAGAATCTAGTGACACAGCAAGAAAATTTATTACGACAGAGCACGCCTTTAATCCCCTGGGAGGCAGAGGGGGTGGATCTGTGAGCTCAAGCCCAGCGTGGTATGACTTTCAGGCCAGACAGAGCTCCACAGTGAGATCCCGCACTACTCTTCCAGGATTCAGAGAAACCATGTCAGATTATCTTAACTCCTCCGGCCTCTCTGCACATCTGCATTCATGTCTACACACAGACATATATACACATAATTAAAAATGATAAAAGTAATTTTTTTTGGGGGGGGGGGTTTCGAGACAGGGTTTCTCTGTAGCTTTAGTGCCTGTCCTGGAACTAGCTCTTGTAGACCAGGCTGGTCTCGAACTCACAGAGATCCGCCTGCCTCTGCCTCCCGAGTGCTGGGATTAAAGGCGCCACCACCGCCCGGCTAAAAATAAATTTTTTTAAATGAAGAAAGGGTAAAGGGGAAGCCGGGCGGTGGTGATGCAGGCCTTTAATCCCAGCACTCGGGAGGCAGAGGCAGGCGGATCTCTGTGAGTTCGAGACCAGCCTGGTCTACAAGAGCTAGATCCAGGACAGGCTCCAAAGCTACAGAGAAACCCTGTCTCAAAAAACAAAACAAAACAAAAAAAGAGTAAAGGGTAAAGGGGACTGTCATGGCGATGGAGTAGGGTGAGCGGGCATGAAGACGCATGTTTCCTGGGTCACATACTCCCTTCATTTTCATCTGATAAAGACCTGTTTTGCACATATAACATAGGAGACATGGTTACTATAACAGACTGCACAGTGAAACCGTGGCACAGAACCTTAACCTTCCCTAGTCCTTTAGAAGGTTGAGGGTGCATGTTCAAATCTGCTCCGCTCTCTCCCATCCCATGCCCACCTCTTTGGAAATTGATGGAATAGATGACAAGAGTCTAATTCTACCTTGAGTGTCACTTTGATTTTCCTTTTGTTTTATATGCAGTGTTGACCGTGACATCATTTGTTCTCTGTATCCAACTCAGAGTCTCCTATAACCTGCCTCATTCACAGTGAATACTAATTGCTTATCTTCCTGCCCTCCTCTAAGAAGCACGCGATGCTTTTTAAAGGAAGGCACACACGCCCAAACCATTTTCACCTCTGCGGTCCTTCACTTTCGCCCTCTGTATTTCAGATACCAGTCCCATGGGGTGAGCTAGTGTCTCCTCTGGCCCTTGTAAGATAAACGGCAATTGTTTGATGCAGCGACCACATGTGGCCGTCCCTTCTCACATGTGCGTGCAGGTCTGCACTTGAAGCTGGCCTTGGGAAGGACTTCCAGACTGGCGATAATTTCAAAAAGCCCTCCTGAGCAATTGAGCCTTTGTTTGAACACCCCATGAAGAGGTTTTACACCAATATTCTGTTGCATTATTTTCCATAATTGACTCTCTGCTAGTTTATGACCTCTTGAAATTAGTAAGAGTGCAGCTTCATGCTGCTCTGGATAATACCGCCTTCATACACACAGGAATAAAAGGGGCTAGGAAAAGGCGACATCTTATCTATTGCCAGATAACAAGTGCTGGCAGTTTGTAATACACACACACACGTGTACATATGTATGTATTTATCTCTGTGTGTATAGAAATATACACATATACATGCATATATTTAATTTTTGTGTATAAAATGAGCTTTGAAGAGATGAGTACCAAGGAGTCAGAAGGAAAAACCAACTTATTTTTTAATAATAAAATTCTGCTAGCATTAATGCTGTAATATTTCGGGTGGCATCTGGGGAGCCTAGGAGGAGACCAGTTTAGCTTTAGCTATCAGTCCCATTGTAGAGCAAAATGTTCTCACCTGTGGATAGCAGCAGCACTCCCTGTAAGCCTGGGTTATCGGCAGCAATCAAAGCAAGGGCTTATCTCAGAAACGTGTTACTCATCAGAGAAACTCTATGCTGATATTCTAGATGAGGGTGCAAAGGGACACAGGGCTCACACTACAATGAAGCACTGCTTCCCATGCCCGGGGCCTGGACATCATTAGAAGTGTGCGCACTCCCGTGCCGAGAGAGGGCCTGGCAGTCAACCTGAAGAAGGAAAATGTGCTGCTCTTTCTCAACTCCACATTCCAGTTATCAAGCGTTTGTGGCACATACACACCCCAACTTTGAACAGGTGAGAACTGATATTAATTCACTTTCCCTCTCGCAGAGAGTTTGCTTTATTTTGGTTTTTAGATTTGACCATATCCTTTCTGCTCCCACATCCTTCCTACCTCCCCACCAAATCAAGTTCGTGTGCCTTTTACCTTCTCTTTAATTAAAAATAATTATGAATAAATGAATAAAAGCACACCCACCACACCAAAAAAGCCAAGATACCACACCGTAACTATAACAACAAAACACAGAAAACACAGAGTTCTCTTAGCTTACTACTAATGAACAGGAGACTGCCTTGGAGTATGGCTGACGTACTCAGTGTCAATCAACTGGAGAAAAACGGATTTGCCCTCTCCAAGCCGTTATCAATTGAGAACAGCTTCTTGGTTAGGGGAGGGACTTTTTCTTTTCTCTTTCTCAGTTGCAGAGGCCTTTCATAAACCGTGAACCATTGCAGTTGAGCTTTAAGAAAATAAGGAAGAGATTCTACTGAAATGGAGAGAGGCTAAGTAGGCATAAACCTAATTCTTGTTTCAGACCATCAACTTTGTGCACAGGACCTGTGTTTAAAATGGAGGCAGGTGTTGGATGAGGTGAGGAACAGGATGAATAAGACAAAATCTATGCTTCTGAGAGAGAATTCACACACCAGTGACAGGAGCAGACTGTCAACCAGATGCCCAAAGGTCATTCTACTGATCCTCCAGGGTCACAGAAAGGTGGGCATAGACGGACTCACCTTGTAGAACTTTATCTATCTATCTATCTATCTATCTATCCATCCATCCATCCATCCATCCTTGACTTTTGGTTTGGGGGATAGCGCTCTCTATGTAGCCCTAGCTATCCTGGAACTCACTGTGTAGACCAGGCTGGACTTGAACTCAAAGATCTGCCCATCACTGCCACCTGAGAAAAGACATATGCCACCATGTAGGACTTGTAGAATGTTAATAAGTCTCTACTCCCCTTACTTACTTTGTTAGAATAACTCCTAAATCCAAATACAGTTTTTAAATGAAAGGAAAGGAAAACATATTTAAAAAAAAAAAAAAAACCAGGGCTGATGAAATAGCGCAGTGGGTTGCAGCACTTTCTGCCAAGCCTGATGACCTGTGTTCAATCCCTGGGATGCATGGGGCAGAAGGAGAGAGCCGAGGCCTGTCAATTGTCCTCTGACCTTTACCCACTCATCATTCCTGCACAAGAAGTAAATAAATGTGAGCACAAGTGCACACACAGGTGCTACTATTCAAAACCTCTGCGGCATCACTACAAGTAATGCCCAGGTACTTTTTTTTCTTCCAAGCAAAAAGCAAGCAAACAAACCAATCTCTGGAAGTGGGTGGCCATTTCATTTTGCAACTATGGTGACATTTATATACATATATCCAAAAACAGTGAGAAAAATCAAAACCCAAACCATCCAAAAGTCAACTTGACAAATTTCAATAAGAACCTGCTTCAGGCAATGCAGATGCGTGGCTACCTTGATAGCTTAGTGCTTTCTAATAAGTGCAGATGGCTATCTGAAACCCGTATCGTAAACTGCCAACAAGTCCAAGAAAAAAAAATGATTTCACGTTAACAATAATTAAACAAGCACTAAAAACAAGACTGAACCAGAGAAGCAAGAGCCAGGAAATGTCTTCGGCTGATGCAATGCTCCAGAGTACATTGTG